AAGGGAAGAGCAGACACATACACACACGCACACACATACACACACACAACCACCCCACCCATGGGTCCCCCTCTGAAATTCTCCCTCTGCCTGCGTTCGCTTGGTTTCAGGGCTGGAACACACATATCGATGAGATCGCACACACATGTTGCCTTCAGCTGTGGCTTCTCCAGAGCTAAGGGACACACACTGTGTGCGTCCACACAGGTTCATTAACAGGTTACCTGTAAGCTCACACACGTATACACACAGTGAGCGGGGAGAGAGAGCCAGGCAGAGGGATGGAAAAAAAACAACTGTTTTGTGCAGCGGCTGAGTGGGAACAAAAGACGAATGGGGGCAGTTACATCAGAGAGCGACAGCACGAAAGAGACAGGGATAGACAGAGAAAAGAAGGGCAACCAGAGAGACAGGCAGCGCTCGGTGATGGAGAAACTGAGAAAAAAAACAAGTGAGATTGAAGGTTTAAAAGAATGAGAGCTACTCTGGGGAGGTAAACAGAAAGAGAGGAAAGAAAGAGGGAGAAAGAGGGAGAGATAAAAGACAGAGAGCAAAGCTGCTGGTCTGAGTCCAGGCCATAAGGATGGGCAACTGGCAGCTCAGAGAGAAAGACAGAGAGGGTGAACGAGAGATACTGAGGGGCTGCAGAGGAGGATAAGGGGAAAGAAATCGCTCCACCGCCACCACCACCACACCAGCGCAATTAGTAGGCGTTCCCGCTGTGTCTTTCACATGGAGCTGGTTCACTGGCCAGCTGCATCCATCTCCCCACTCCTGCACACTGCAGCCAGCTCGCTTTCATGTCTGCAGAACCGCACAGAAACCCTCGTGCACAAAGACGCATGTGCAACACGTGCACATAAGCTCCCACCTGTGGTATAATTGTTCCGATAGAACAATGAGTACAAATTTGTAATAGCTGTGACCATGTTTTGCCAGCTGGCATGAACAGTGTGTGACCAGTCTTTCCATAAAATCTTGAGCAAGTGTGTGAAGTTTTGTGCCTTTCTGCCATAGACCACTCCCATTGCCCCCATCACCACCACCTTACAGCCAATTTGCATGAACACAAACACACATAGACTTGACCTCCACGCCACATATCAGCCTTCTAGGGTAAAAACTGTGGCTGTCAAAGGGTGGGGACATTTTTGTGGATCAACCAACCAACTGACTGACCAACCAACCAATCAACCAACCGACAGAACGAGCTATTGAGCTGCTGGTCACTGCTGAAAAGGCTCATACTCTGCAGTATTGAGGTCAATGTTGCAGTCACAGAGGGAAGACCTCAAAACTTCAGGCTTATTTCTTACATTCTGGTGTACGACTCGATAGATGGGAAGGTTAGCAAGGAGGAAGTGGGTATACTCTCCTGTTATTTCCAATGGCTTATTGGCTGGTAGTTGGATATACTGTAAACAGCCAGAAAAAGAGGGAGGAATATCCCGTAAACTTGCCCTCCACTACACCACTGGGGACGTGTCCTCTGCGTGCCCCCTGAAATCTACACCCATGCCCTCTGGCGCAGCTCATACTCTTCATCCTCTACATGTGTTTGTGACTTGAACTCATGTCGGTCTCTTTTCCCTTCTTCAACAGGACCTGTAAGATATTCCAGTTCATCACCTCCACCACCAACACCACCTCTCAGCCAGGAAAGCATCACCTATAAAGCAAGGCAAACAAAGATGCTGTCCAACAGCCACCTATACCCTAAAAAAAACACGGTGATGACTGATGACGGACAGGCACATCAGCCAGTGGGGCTGGGGGAGGGTAAAAGGCTGCGCTGAGCCGGAGCTAGGAGCAATACAAACCCTGGAGAATGGCTCCGCAGAGAATAGCTGCTCCCTGAACCCGGCCTGGAAATGTGTTTTCTCAACTGAGCCCCTCACTGGAAGGCAGAAGGCAGCGGCACTGTTTAACAGGAGGATAGACTGCGCTTTAGAGACTGTGTGCCTAGAGCCCAGTGCACAGGGGGGCTGTTTGAAATGCAGAGCGAGGAATGTGTGTGTGTGTGTGTGTGTGTGTGTGTGTGTGTGTGTGTGTGTGTTTTCTGCCTTCGGATGGGTTGCTATCATATTCAGACACCTGGCGGACACTGATTGGACAGGAACATCCCTCTGGCCACCTTGTCTGTGGGCCAAGAGGTGCGCGTGTGTGAGTGTGTGTCTGTGCGCGCGTATGTGTGATAATCACATTGTCATTCTACAGCCACATCATCAGTGTGTTTGTGCGTTATTACGTGTCTGTGTGAGCGAAGAAGTTCATCTCCAATCCAAGATGTCATTGCATCAGAAAAGCAGCAGCCAACCACTGGATGTACTATCTCAATGTGCGTGTTTGTGTTTAAAAACGAGACAAAACGAAACAAAAAAGGAAACTGTACATGATGATGTGCTTTACAGGTTCTAAATATTCTGATATCGAAGAGTTAAGAAAAAAAACGGACGCAGTATTTTACTATAATGCTCTTATCTTCGGAGATGTATTTTGATGTGCATTATGACTATATGACATCATTGCGTCACCCTTGGTACATGTCAGGCTTTGTGTTATTCAGAAATTTAAAAAAAGGAAAAAAAAAAATCCATCTCACCTGTGTGCACATTCAGTATGTACAGTAGACGCCATCATCACTCGACAGGTTGCAGATCAGGGCTCCAAGGGTCCAACCGGGAGTCAGGTCATCTCACTTCATATCTATGTACAGTTCAGAAGTATTACTGTTAAACATTGCCATGACGTACGATTATTTCACCTCCCACAGCAGCGTGGAAAGATAAACATTCAGATCTCATAACACACCTGTCTGTGTATCTCAAATGTAGCCTCTTTCACTCTTCCATGCTATGTAACAGCACCCTGCACGGGGTGTCGGTTTAAGTACTGGTCATATCAAAAGGAGACATATTTAAGTATTAGAGCATAAAAGAAAGTGCAAAAACTCCACACCAAACGTCCTCTTTTATGAAGCTCATTATTTAATGGTGTATATAAGTATTTGATGCTGTTTAAATGTAAGATGTGATGTACTAATATAATTGTGTATAGTATTTCCTAGAGATGTTTATTTTCTATAAAATGGAATATGTTATTGCTTATAAAATGTTATTAAAAGAATCCATTGATGAAAAAAAAAATAAGGACCTTTTTTGGGAATGTCACTTGTCATAAGTTGGAGCATGCCGTTTTATTGATTTTCATGTCTATTTGTTTGGAATCGATGACACAGCATCACTTTGTTTGAAATGTTTTTTGTAACGCCAATGTTAAATATACCAGCACCTTTCAATGCTGCTATGACCAACGCCTGCTCTTTTTGTCTTTACTGAACGCGCACTGACACACTAAAGACACATCTGGATTAGCATATCTTGTGTGCTAGCCGAGTAAAAGTGACCACGGTGAGTCAAAAAAGTGAAATCTTAATTATCACAGCCATTTTAACACATCCCATCATTACAGCCATATTTCAAAGTGTCTCTTCTGATATTAACGGTCCAGTGTGTGGGATTTAGGGGGATATATATGTTTTCTTTAGTGTATAATCACCTGAAAATAAGAATCACTGTGTTTACCTGCCTTAGAATGAGCAGTTTATATTCATATAGGGAGTGGGTCCTCATGTTAAGGAGATTGCCATGTTGTACGGCCATGTTTCTACAGTAGCCCAGAGCAGTCAAACCAAACACTGGCTCTAGATAGGGCCTTTCGCACCTCCATGACAAGAGTATGTTGGAAAAAGTGATTTTTTTTTTTAAATGTGAAACTGCTTTATTCAGTGTTTTTACCGGTTTAAATCACCAGTTTGAATTTGGAGAGGAAGAGACCTCTGTGGATGATTCAGCTCCTGGTAAAAACCTCCTGAACACTGAAGGAATTCAAACCAGGAGAAGTTTCAGCTGGTTGCAGTTTGCAGTCCTCACTGCTAGACACCACTAACTCCCCCATAAATCTTACATACAATTCCTTAAATAAAAAGTTCAGCATTTAAATCATAAAAAATACAAGCAACTTCTAACAATACTAAATACAATACTCTCACAACGTGCATTTCAGAAAAGATTTTTTTCAGGCCTTGGATGATGGGGTGAGCTTGGTGTGGGTCAGGGGGCGTGTGGTGGGGGGCGGTGTGCTGGGGGCGAGCCTGCAACCGCTGTAGCAAGGACTGAGCCTTTGTGTAACTTACAAAAACAGTTTGAAGAAAATAACTGGGCTTTGGAAAACACATTTATTCTTTGTAAAAACTTCTTGCAAAAGTTTTATCCTATCTAACCTATTTGCATAAGTTTAAAGTTTAGTGGAGGGATACTTTTATTTTTATTATCATCATGATGACATGTGGTATTCACCCCCATTAAAGGTCCAGCATGTAGGATTTACAGGGATATATTGGCAGACATGTAATATAATGTTTTCTTTAGTGTATATTTACTTAAAAAGTAAGAGTTGTAATGGTTTTGTTACCTTAGAATGAGCTGTTTATATCTGCATAGGGAGCGGGTCCTCGTCTATGGAGATCACCAAGTTGCACCACCATGTTTCTAAAGCAGCACAGATCAGACAAATCAAACACAAACACTGGCTCTAGATAGGGTCATTGGTGTTTTTGCATTGGCCACCAATCAGCATTGTGAAAAGTTATTTGTAATGTGAAACTGCTTTATTCCATGTTTTTACCAGTTTAAATCACCGGGTCCATTTGTTTTGGAGAGGAAGAGTCCTCTGCGGATAATTCGGCTCACAGTAAAAACCTCTTGAACATCTGGATCTCAAGTTACTAGAGAAAAAAGGTGAGCACAAATGATCAGGAGCTGGGCTACAAATGCTGATTTGCAATGTTGAACTGTTTTATCTTGTGTCAGCAATTAAGAATTCTAGTCAGAGTAAGTTTTGGCTGGTTGAAATCTGCGATCCTCTCCTAAATGCTACTAAATCCCGCCAAATCTTACACACTGCGCCTTTGAAAACAGAAAGCACGACAGGAAACACTGTATTCTTCTTTACAAAAGGCTTTAATATTTACATCATAAAAGGTTGAAACCAAAGAACACGGAAGAGATGAAAAGATGTCAGTGAAAGAACACATGAATAAAACCTTTAGACATGGCTGCGACTCATTCATCTCAATCCAACGTCTTTCAGTCTTTCACATTAGAGACGCACTATAAAAAAAACATACTGGTCCTGGGACAAACACACATGCCAAAGTCTTTTTTCTTTTTTTTTTACAGTCTTTAAAAATCAAGAAATGGTGGTTCTCTAGGAGCATGAAACTACAATAACTGAAAGAGCACGTGTTGCTCTTCATAATGGAGCTACAAAGGGAAACCAGGAGATTCTCTACAGGCCCTCTTTGGGAAAAAAAAAGATTTTGAAATTGTCTGTCGTTATGTAACTTGTTGCAAAAGTGCCAAAGGTTCACGTTGAGAGTTTCAGCTGTCTGTTGGTGATGCCAGAATTGGGCGCTGCCAATTTTCATATCATAGTTGTATACGTGTGCAACAGTGCAAAAGGTCAATCGAGTCAGACGACGTGACGCAAATAACTTGATACCGTCTACATTTTGACGGCCGTCGGCATGGCAACACAGTAAAGTAACTACATTATTTGGGCCCCGGTCGAAAGCTACCAGATAAAAACAGGTTTCAGGAGAAGAAAATAAGCATTTATCACTCTGCTTATGCAAAATACTGCTTAATCAAAGTTCAGATTATAAATACATTTTAAAATATGTACACAGCAAAACAAGAAATGACCTATGAAAATAACTTCATAAAGCCATGTTTATTATCTCATTGAAATAAGCCTCGCAGGGCTAGTGCAGATAGACACGGAGCTTGTAGAGCGGATCACCTCTCCTCAGATTATCAATGGTAAAAACGTGATTCGACTTTAACACTATTTGAACCTGCGGAGTGGCTTCCCACTGAACGAGCCCACGGTTAGACCAATCCGAGTTTGGTCCTCTTCCTCCCACGAACACGAGACACCTCACTCTGCAGCCAATCAGGCACTCCAACCCACTGGGTACTCCTGCCTTGGAGAAGGTGCATCTCTGTCAAAAAGATCGGGGGTGGGACTATACTGAACAAGTGCAGGGCAAATATCTCTGTCATGCTTCACACACACTCACATCATTCACACTGAATCGTCCAGTAAGAGGACGTGATGGCTCCTCTCTGTGGTCAAACTGCTGCACTGCAATCTCACGAGGGGATTCAGCTCAGTAACTGAGAAAAAAAATGCTTCCTTTATTATGGTAATAATCCATAGCAACAAGAGTGCAAACTCTACAAGTACTTCCTGATGGGGGGGTTGAGGTGGTGGGAGGGACAGTCCATGAAGAAAAATCCTGTCACTTTGATATGAATCTGTAGAGTTTAATAAATCTGTTCAATAGCTGCACGCCAAAATGCCAGAGGCCGTGTGGTTGTTGTGTCTGCGGGGGTTTCTTTTTCCATCTGTTTGTGTATTTTAGAGATGTTTCTATATACAGTGTCCATGCATGTCCCTCAGCCCCTCCCATCTCTCTAGCTGTTGGTGACGGTGGTGCCGCTGCCCAGCTTGATGATCATTTGCTGGCAGTCGTGGAGGGTCCTCTTGTCTCCCAGCTTCTCCAGGGTGCGGGCCGCGTCCGCCAGCATGCCCACCCTTTGGCCGGGAGCCGACAGAAAGGAGGGGGGAAGGTAGCGGCACGCCAGCATCACTGCCTCAGCCTGCTCCCGCTGGCCTGGCCGCGTCTCGCACTCCTCTGCACACAGAAAGACACAAAGGATGTTGTTACCGCGGTGTTTTCGGGTGAGATTTTTGATGTCATCAGCCACCAATGGCAGCTGCTTCTTGTTTAATTACTGATGGGATTTAGTGTCGTGGACAATTGGGCAAAGTAGATGTTGAGATAAGTGCAACTGATTACAGCCATTCAGCGTCTCTCAGCTCTCTACAACTTTTATTTAAAAGTTGGCAGAAGACACAAACCTACAAACTGATGCTTAGCGAACGGCAGCATCTACAGTTGAAGTTTATTAGTAGGTTTTAAATCTGCTTTAGTGCAACGTAACTGCAGCTTCGTACAAATTTAACTCTTAAAAACAATGTGTTACCTAAAACAGCACAATAAACACACACTGAGAGCCTGAACTCATCTTATCAGTCACAAATGATGTTGCCACATTCATGAGGTTGAACAGGCAATGCGTGAACAGCAGATACAGCAATTACACGCACACAAAAATCTAAATATCAAAAGCAGCAAAAAAGCTTAGAAAACAATTTCGCCTGCAGACAGAATTACTCGTGTGGAGCTCATGAAAAAATAAAACCCAACAAAACTACATCAATACACACCTGTCTTGGCTCCAGGCGTTGCCCTGCGTCGCAGCGAGCGATCCAGGAGCTGATGTGTGCGGGTGGGACTGGCCCCCGCCATCAGCCTGGCTGTAGCTTCATGAAGGAACAACTGGAGAGAGATGGAGGGAAGAGTAATGAGGAGGAGGTGGAGGGATGATGACTCATACAGAATGCTCAGCTCTACCTCAGAGAGACTTTGAAGCCTTGTGAACAATGCTGCTAAACACTCGCCTCGGGGATGTGTGTGTGTGTGTGTGTATGTGTGTGTTGCAACACCTCCCAGCTAATTTCCACAGAGAACTGTACCGTGGACTGCCTGCAAATATGTGCACAGGACAAATTTGGATGTATATGTGTTGTCATCGTGGCAGGTATGTGCAGCATGGAAGAATCTGTCGTGATGCCTGTGTGTGTCGATCTCCCACACGTCGGCTTAGGAGGATTTTAAGGCACATTCTGATGAGTCATGGTTTTAAGTGCTGGAGCTGCGCAGGTGTGTTCATCTTGTTTTAAGAATTCCCTGAGTGTCTGCCAATCATGTTGTGTCTGCGTGTGTGTGAGACTGAGAGGAAATCAGGTTAGAACAGTCTAGATGAAATGAAAGTTCACCTGCATGTCACCAAGACAATGAATCCCCCAAACTGCTCCCTCGCTGTGAGTCTAACCAAGCACTAGCATGAGCTAAGTAACTAAAACGTAGTGACTAAGACTGTTGTACGTACCCTCCGCATTGCAGGCCTGAAGCTGTGTGCCAGCTTGCGTAGGGAGCTGAGATCTTGCTGAAAGCCTTGGAGCTCCGGTGGGGAGGCCTGGTGGACCCCCACGGGGCCGCTGGTACCAGTCGTCCCTGACCCCGCAGGACCCGCCCCCTGCTGCTGCAGGCGCCACACATTGGTCCTCATCACCAACAGAAGATCGCACAAGAGCAACTGGATAACCTAGAGAGAGAAATGGACGAGATCAGGATACATGTTCTGGATCAGGATCAGGATACAGTTCAGTTCGCTTCAAAAGGGGTTGGAGTTCTCTTGGAGTGTTAACATATGCCAAAATAATGCTGAATCACCTCTCTGAGACCATTTAGAGGGCTATCGTCTATCGTCTCTCCCTGCGTGCATCAGCTTTCCCTTCATCCAACGCAAACAGATACTCCACCTTGTGCCGAAATTTTGGCTTCCCCGGATATTCCTTCACCATAGCAACCAGACACAACCAAAGCATCTCAGCTGAAAAAAAAGGGTGCCGTCCCTTTTTTTGCACCTCATTTCCTTTGTGTTCGGCATTTATCAATAAGCATGTTTTTCATTTGTTTTAAAAATGTCATTTTTGTTGTTTAAAAAGCAACAATATACCTAAAAATAGCCTAACAATAACACTAATTTGCAAAGCATTTAATTTAGAGAGATAAAGTAATTTTAAAAATGGCGGTAATACCACCAATAGCACTGCTGGGACACTTCCTTTCACCACAGCACCCCTAGTTCACAATAAAATGTGTCATTATTTGCATTAAAAAAAAACAAATATTACCTACTCTGAATGATCACCAGATAAATAATAAACAGAGCTTTCACTCTACTCCCCCCCTCACTATGTGTGCGTGTTCTTCTGTTAGTGGCCCAGCTCTGTGTTGCACTGCAGGTACATTGCACTCCGCTGAGACACACATGCAATGCAACTACAATGCACCACAGCTCTGGCCGTACACATGCACACACTGAGCTACCTATCCACCAGCATCACCATCTGCTGAACGCCAGAGGGTAGGACACCGCCGTATCACAGGGAGGAGACGCTACAGGGGGATTCACGGTCTGTGGTGAAGTGTGTGTGTATGTGTGTGTGTGTGTACTGAAGTGATTATGTGTGGGCAATTTTCTCTGTTTACAATTTTATACACGCACATGTGTGGGCACATCTGTCACTGTGTGCATTCGTGTGTACTTATTTTTTATATATATTTCTAATGTTGTTGCCCTCACAAAACTTGACTTTAAAGCACGCAAATCTGCAAGTGCTTGTGCCTATGTGTGTGTGTGTGTGTGTGTGTGCGTGTGTGTACCTTGTCTAAACTGGAGCTGTGGCAGTGTGGTCCTAGGTTGAGGCTGTCTCGAAGCAGGGCGCTGGCCTTGTCGCTGTAGCTCAGACTCAGCTGGCAGTTTTCCGGCTTGGACAGCAGCGCCCGCACCGCTCTGAATGTGTTCAGACATGCCTTGGGCAGAAGACTCCTGACAGAGCGAGGGGGGAAAAGAGACAGAGGACACAGGTTAAAGAAGTGGAAATGTGTGTGTCCGCAGACAAAAGTTACGCAACACACTCTCGGGCCAGGCTGCAGAGGCTCCAGGGTGTGTGTGTGTGTGTGTGTACGTTCCAACTTACTCTGCGTTCTGCAGGCTGCGGGGCAGGTGCTCAACAGTTGGATACAGTCTCTCTGCCGCGGTGTCGTCTCCTTGGAGCCAGTTGATGATCACCACGGCAACTGAGGACCACCACTTGGAGTGGGGGTCACAGCCTGGAAGTTGGAACAACAACAGTCAAAGGCGAGACACCCGCGGACAAACAAACAAACAAGCAAATATTTGAATCCCCCACTGCCCACATTCACACTTAACATGCATTAGAGTGCGCATACACACACACACACACACGCACTCGAACACACACAGACAGCTGCTGTCTGTAATTTGACCTCTGAATCAATCTGTTTCTACCCTCTGGCATAGTCACAACATGCTGAGAGAAAGCAGCCATTTTGACGACTCCCTCATGAGGGAAAACTACTCCATTTAACATTGGGCAACACACTTACACACACATACACACACACTGACTTCCAACACTATGAGCAACCTAAGGCTCTGCCAAGAAAAGTCTCCTATTAAAATCCCTGCACAGGCTCCCCTCCCCTCCCCTCCCTCCTCTCAAGGTGATCACCGATTTGACAGCGCTGAAGATAGATGAAGCAATCTAGAGGATGCCTCCCGTTCACCTAGCCCCCTTTCGCTCAGATCTGTGATCAGCGAGGACAAAGGGAAGCGGTGGGAGGGTGGAAGTCAACCCCGAGGAAATCACGCTACTCAATCTCAATAGTGTAAAAATGAACTTTATCTCACCGCTTCTTACTTTGCGAGCACATTAAAGAAATCGAACCGTCGGGGCAGGTGACTGAAAGATGCAGGACAAGCAAATGCAATTCTCTCGGGGAAGATAAGTAGTAATGAAGTAAGGAGCCCCGAATCTACACTTGGATTTGTCGATGTACTCAAGCAACAGAAGTGGTTTCAGGCGGTGAGTGTTTGGTTGCCAAAGTTTTACAAGCTGTCTTTGGGCTCAGAGTCAAAAACTGCTGTCATTAGCTGCCATTAAAGTGTTTTGATGTCAAACTCTAAAAACATGCTTTGGTTTTTCAGAGCTTTCAAGATATAATGTGTGTCCAGTCCACTTTTGCACACCTGCACCTGCAAAGCTCAGTACCTAAACCGACCCATTACCCGTAATTATCTCTTATCCAAATTTAGACCTTCCCCAACCCGTTATCAGAAGTCCCATGACCCGACCCGTGATTAACAACGAATGCAAAGAGACACAAGTGGGTTTTGTTGCGAGTTTCCCGGTAGGTACTTGACCCGTTGCAGGACTCTGCTTTACAGTAACTGGTTTCCATCTTCCCAGACAAATTAATGTGTTGTTGACGGCGTTGTTGTTGACTTACCAGTCACAGTGGCCATGTTGGAGCCAATAGCAAAAGACTGGGAGGTGGCACCAGCCGCATCTGAAGCACTGATCAACAGCTGGAGGTACTCCAGGGCATCAGCATACTCCCTGAGCAGAGACACGCACTGGTTAATTTGCCGCCACGTGAACATATAATAACAATTTAAAATATATTATTACCAGTTTATTTTTTAATAGCCCATTATGTTGTCCTTATTGCTTATTGTCAAACAGTAAATCAACTATGAAGTTCTCATAAATACTATCAAAGTGGTACACAAATTTCAGTGAGGTGAACAGGGATCAAAAACTGGTATTTGGAAGTGTGTTTAGTTTCCTCACCCCTCGCCCTGGTTTGAGCTTTTCCCTTCGTGTGGCTGGGCAACACAGTACAGAGCTTTCTCCAGGAGGTGTTCCCTGAACGCCTGAGTCACCTGAGCCAGAGGATCCACTGTAAGAGAACCAACACACCATTAACATGACAAATACACTGCCTGAGTGTGCACATGCAAAACAGGAGTTTAGGCTTTTTGTGACAAATTGTGTACTACATTTTATCCGCACTGACCAGTATTGCCGGCCTGGCTGTAGATGCTTTCTTTAGGAGTGCTGCGAATAGCCCAGTCCCCATCCACAAAGAAGCGGTGACCGAGTGGGTGACACAACCACTGCATAGCTGGAGGCACACTGCCACTGGATGACAGGCACGCCTGGCGGGCGCTGCTCAGGAACACACGCTATCAGAATAGAAAAACAAAGTAGTCAGTTAACAGGGTTCCTACACATTTGGAATTTCAAAATTCCATACTTTTCCATACCCTAATTTCCAGACTTCTCAGCCTTTTTTTTGTTTGTTTGTTTTCCCAGAGAATATGCGACATCTGAGTAAATATATCAGTGTATCATATTTCACATCATATTTAATTATTCTTAACAGGCGATTGTAGCCAAGTACCATAATGGCATGCAAATAAAAACTCAGGTAAGTTCAATGTCTGGGCTGAGGCAAAAAGGTTGGGACTCTGGGTGCAAGCGATGCAGTAACGAGACGTCTGTGTTTTTTCCTTTCATGTGGCTCAGAATCGCCTTCTCCCCCATGTTGGCGATGCCACACAAAGCTTGCATCTAGCTCTGTGTGTGAATTGAGAATCCTTGGCCAACCAGTATTTATATACGGTATTGTCAAGCCATCCATCCAAAAACTTGCATCTACCCATTGTGAACCATATGAAGGTGCAGTGTTGGAGTGAAACTTGATACCTGGGGGGCTGGAGGAGGGTCATGGGGCAGCGGACTGGACATACCACTTGTCAATCAGGTAAAAGGGGCGGTATGTTTTCTGAGACGTTTGCTCTCACACAAGCTGTGCTTGGCCCGGCATAAAACACGATCCGGATTGATTAAATTATTTTTGGAAATACCTAATTTTCTATTTTAGAAAACAGTATTTTAGAACAGTGGTAATAGTCTGGAAACATAAATATTTTCCCATACTTTATTTTTCATTTTCCATACTTTTTAATACCTGGAAATTGATCAAATTTATTTCCATACTTTTCCATATTTTCCATACTTGCGTAGGAACCCTGAGTTAAGTTCTTCAATTGAATGTCAACAGACTTGCACAGCTTATAGGTTACTACTGATGTATCAGCAAGTCTGAAACTGAATTAACACTTTCCTAAAAGGCAACAGGTCACAACAGGTGATAAAACCTGAAAAGCATCTCCAATAATAATAATCTCCAATACACCATGGACTCTGCATGCACTGAACTGTGACCCCCATATTGTGACGGTTCGGCAAGAATAGATGACCCTTACGGCCCTAGTGCAAGTGCTTCTTTCTGACGGCATCCAAGCAAAAACATTTGCATAAAATATTAAATTTGTGCAATATTAATGACTGAGCGAGACGACTGTACATGTGCAGACGAAGGGTACTTACTGAGGTAAAATGCAGGATCCTTGGCAGGCTGGCTTTGACCCGTAGAGCTGCTGAGACATAGACCTCAGCCAGACTGGCTACAGGCAGACAGGAGCCAGCGCACTCTGCCAGGTTCACTGCACTCAGAGCCATGTGCACCGCTGACAGGTGGCTACCATTCAGCTTACCTGTGTAAGACAAGAAACAGTTACATGTGTATATTCTTTAATCACACTATTTTGCAAAGAATAACAGCGATGCAATAATCCTAAAAAGGTTCTGCAACAGTCAATAAACCTGTTATTGGCACTGAATCAGCATAACCCGACTCTTCCAGCAAAAAAAGGGGGGCTGCTCTTTAATCACCTGAGATGCTGTCATTTCAATGAGCCACCCTACAGTGTTCAGTCTCCCACACTGATTTAATTTAAAAACAGGGTTTTTCCCACCGACTAACCTGTCATGTGAAGCTGGTGCAGGCGGTGGTAAACCAGAGCGGCGTCCCGGCTGCTTTTACAGGCGTCTTCCTTCAGGGGGCGGTCAGATCGTAGCCCTCCGGCCCTGGCAGCCAGCCAGCGGCCCACCCAGAGGCGCTGCAGACAGAATCTTAGCAGGGACCAGAGTGCGGAGCATGCCAGGTCCAACTGGGAGATGGGTAAGGGACGACCAAGAGCCTTTAGACAGGTCCACAGGTTCTGACTGGCCTGGGCGAAATCTCCCTGGAGAGGGTGAAAGAGATCCGTGATGATGAGGAACAACAGATAATAATATTTAATTTGGATTTGTTTGTATTGAGTAAACAAAAAAACATACTCTAGCGAGGTCCAGGTCAGCCTGCTTGCGGTGCCTCCAGAACAAGACAGACGATCCAGAGTGTGGTCTGGTGACAGGCTCTCCGTACACTAACAGTCGGATCAGAACCCCTGACACCAGAATACCGTTGAGCAGCCACACCAGTATAGTCGGCAGCATCCAGTCCATCCAGCCCCACGAGTCCGCTACAGAGAGCACATTTCATTTAATATTTTGGAGTCATCATTTTGAAATCAGCGCCTTACATCATCTCAAAACAGCTCATTTTACCTGCGATCTCCACACCCAGCATGGTTCTTCCTGCATGATGGGTGGCAGTGGCGGCTGCGCTTCCAGCCGAGCTGCTGCTGGATGAGCAGAGCAGGGCGGCCAGCGGGTTGAGGGAAAGAAAGAGGAAGGTGAAGGCACACAACGCCATGCGGGAACGGTCCAACATACCGCCAGCGCTGCCTCCTGCTGCTGATCTGTCTAACACGCCCACGCTCGGCTGATGAGCAGAACAGAGACCAGAGAGATTTATGAGACAAAAGTGTAGACATAGACGAAATACAGCAGTGACTGATTGAGGATTTAACCTGCTGACTATCTACTATACTGTATGCATCTTGATGGGTTACATACCTTAGTGTCTTCCCCCATGGGACTGTCAGGCTCTGAGTCACTGCCACAGTGTGAGAAAGAGGTGGGGGAGCCCACGTCAGAGGCTGGCGGGGTGGGCAGCTCGTTCTTCACATCAGCTGGTCCGTCCACCTCCATGGCAACCAGGTCCTTGAGAGACTCTGGACGAAAGAGGAAAAGTAAAGACGCAGAGAGCAGTTAGAGGGTCAATCAGTGGAACAAAAGTAAAGACATCCTCAACTTTCAATTCCACTTACTCAGAGGCTACAGACGACCAGTTTCACTTTTGGGATAACAGTAGCTATCAATAGACCTCATCACAAAAAAGGTCAACTGAATGATTTATTTTCAAGGAGCTGAAATAAACTGCAGTGGAGCCGTTATGAAATAAAGCAGAGAGAGAGATTTTAAGCACGTACTGTTTTTCTGGGCTGCCATTTTATAAGCCATGTTCTCCTGCTTGAGTTTCTGGTTGGACTGCTGCAGGTAACGGATGTAGTCGATGGCTTTCCTCAGCACTGCAGACTTGTTGAGCTATGAGAAAGTGCAAACAAATCATATAAGATGAGGCTCCTCTTGTCAATGTTGCTGATTGCCAGATTTTTCTTTAACATGGAGAGACTGCAATAAAATTAAATGATACTCTTCCCTACCTTGGCCTCAGTGCCAGCCACCAGATCTTTGAGCTCGATGATCTTATCATTAATAGAGGAGCGGTAGCGCTTCTCGATGGCATTGTGAGCCGTGCGCTTCTCGCCCTTGTGCGGCTGACCTGCTGGCTTGCCGGTGATAGCGATGCGGTTGATGGGCAGCTTCTCAGTGTCCACCATGACGGGCACCGTGGTCAGGATGGTGCCACTGCCCATAAAAGCCTGAAGATGCAAATAAGGTGGCAGAAAATAAGGAAGACAGTTACCTAAAGAATGCACAGTGATCTTTTCTTAATACTGACTTGCATGTGATGTGCCTACCTGCAGTGAAGTGCTCTGTACTGGGGTGGTGGTGGCCAGCGATGTGGGAGAGGCCATAGTAGTGACAATACAGGGGTCGTGCTTCAGAGTGGTCAGCAGCAGAGAATCAGCCTTGATGAACTGGGGCTGCAGCAACACCTGAGAACACACACAACATACAAGTAAAGATACCCAGCTCTGCTTTTGGTTTTATAGGATTTACTAAGTCCACTCAGGCTCATTCAATGCCAGTCTAAAACACTTACAGGTACTTGCTGTACGTGTGGTGCGATGGTTTGAACCGGCGGGCTCGCCGACGTGGCCAGGAGAGGAGTAGTGGTGGTCAGCCCTTGGAGCTGAGCCTGGATGGTGACTGGCTGAACAGTTGGAGGTGATGATGACAGGATGGTGGTGGGTTGGCTCACAGTGCTGGGACTGCCAGCTGGAAAATTAGAGTGCAAAAGATGTTGTCAGCCCTTAACTCAAGCGTGTATAATTGTAAGAAATATCCATGACAGCAACCTACACCTGCTTTTTAGCAACTGCACACTTGATTTAACTTTTAAATCTAGTTCTACAGTGCATGACAAAAATGTCCCAGTATTCTTTATACACTGTTAATCATTTGGGCATTTCAGAAATTTGAGTGGCATCACATTCCAGCACTCAAACAACAAACCTCTACAGCGAGTCTGTAGTTGAATATGATACAAGAAGAAATAATGGGCCACCAAATACACTGCATCTGTACATGTTACCAGCCAATATCAGCTTTAAAAAGCAATTTCAAATAGGTCCAGTATTCTTTATACTAGGGTGATGTGTCGGTTTGTGAACACGTATGCGATCTTTTAATTTTAAAGGAGCAGTGACTGGGATTTAGTGGCATCTAGCAGTGAGGACTGCAAATTGCAACTTAAATATTGTCCTGTCTGGGCTACTGTAGAAACACTATGGTGCAACATGGCAGACTCTGTAGACAAGGACCTGCTCCCTATGTAGATATAAATGGCTCGTTCTACAGGTAATGAAAACACGACGATTCTTTATTTCAGGTGATTCAACATTTAAAATAGCATACTTTTTCTATTATATACCATTTCTGCCAATATTTCTTCCTAAATCCTTCACACTAAAGCTTATAATACCTACACCAGCATTTGTACTAAGACAAAAACATTCTGGTATTGACCTATGAAGCTGAGAAAATGTTAGATATTTGTACTGGTTTAAACACATCATTATTTATTGTTGGTTATTGATAGAACTCTACTACACCTGACACTGTGCAAGCCATTATCTATTTGTTTGTAGGCCAATAGGTGACACACAATCTCACTGGACATGAGTGATAGCAACATTCAGTGTGTCACCTTATGTTCCTTATCAGTTCCAACTGGGCTAGACGCTGAGATCACCTGTCAGTACCAGGGTCAGGGAGTTTTAAAGGAGCAATAAAGATTTATTGCCTCTGAGACAATTCAGAAGCAGTGTTTAATTTATTACTTTTCACCCACAACAAAAACCCCCTGCAACAATCAGGTGTCAACGTTTTCAGTGGACGCGGCTGCGGCAGATATGCAGCTATGCCATATGTACATATACAATGGGTGCCACCCAGACAAAGCATTTTCATTTAGCTCACAGACTTTCATGCTGCCGAGCAAAGTCTATTAGATTAGGATTTGGATACGAGATCAGCTGAGGTTGAATAGCCTGCTGTCCTAGCTTGGTAAATGCAATACACGTGAAGAGACATCTTGGTGTGCAGTGGTGTTTCCAAACTACACTTGTATAAGAAGTTCTGCTTTTAACTAAACTGAGACTAGTATTGTTATCCATCTAAAACTATTAATACTAGTTTAAAGAACTCAAAAAGATCTCTATTAGGCATCATCATCAGAGACTGCTTACCTGTGTAGCCGTTCTGGTTGCTGTAGTTGGTCCGGACCTGTTGGGGCTGAGCCTGAAGCTGTGTCTGCGGCTGCGGCTGAGGCTGAGGCTGAGGTGGAGTCTGGGGAGCAGGCGAGGTGAAGAGAGCCTGGGGTGTGGCGCTGAAAGTTGGGTTCGGTGCTGGTGAGCCATGAGGTGACGCTGCCTGAGCCGTGGCAGGCGGGCTGAGAATGGGTTGGGGCTGCTCCACCTGGGGCTGTCTGAGGCTCTGAGCCTGCTGTGGGGATGACGGCTGCTGCCTCTGCGTGGAGCTGGGCACCTGGGCCAGGGGGGACTGCTGGAAGGTGGGAGGCTGGAAGGCCTTGTCCGGGGTGGATGAGCTACGGGTGATGGGAGGGCCCAGGAGTGCATCCAGGTGGGGGCTACTGCTTAGGATGGAAGAGGAAGATGAGGGTGGAGTTGGAGGTGTGGTAGTGGCGGTTGGAAGGGCAGATGAGGTGAGGGACTGAGTCAGACCAGGATGCTCTTGGCTGGGAGGAGGTGCTGTGTATGGAGGGTTATCAAACAGTCCTCCAAACTCCATGTCCTGGTTGCTGATGAGCTGTAGCATGTCTGAGGAGGGGGAGAAAGAACGGAAATCGTCACTGCTACTGACCAAGTAGGAAAAAATATAACTTTCCAAGTAGGGCTGCCACTAACGATTATTTTCATTGTCGACTAATCTGTCGATTATTTCTTCGATTAGTCGACTAATCATTTCATCGAAAAATGTGTTAAAATGTTGAAAAATGTCGGCCTGTCTCGCCCAAACCCCAAAATTACGTCATCTGATGTCTTGTTTCATACTCACGCCAAAGGATTTTGGTTCACTATCACGGGAGAGTGTGTAAAGCTGCCAATGTCTGAACGTAAGAAGCTGCAGTAAGAGTATTTTGGGGTACTTTTTTAGTACTTTTCTATGAAAAATGACTCAAACCGATTAGTCGACTACTAAAATAGTCACCGATTATTTTAATAGTCGATTAGTCATCGATTAGTCGACTAATCGTGGCAGCCCTATTTCCAAGATAACAGAAATCTGCAGCTCTGAATTGGAACTAGTTAAATGTAGGACACCTGGACATTTCTTGAAAAGCATGGTTTACAGTTTGGCTTATTGAGTACTGAAAACAACTTCTCCATAGCAAACTGGATCTTCTGCCTTTCCATCTATACTGCTAACTCATGCACCAGCCCACATGCACACTGTTTATGGTGTAACAGCACTCAAAATTACTACAGAGTAGTAAAGCTGCAAAAATGATCACTGTGTTCAAATAACTTCACGTAAGAGGGACATACAAACAAAGCTTTCACTGCAGCGTGCAATAAGAATGCATCATTTTCCCCCAAAACCAATGTCAGAATATAAAACTCAAAAGCAAATAAAGACTAAAACATTCATAATTCAAACTGGTGAAAAAAGGATTCTATTCTTCTTTATTTAGCATTTTCCCCACAAATGGGGAATACTGAATAGCCTAATTTGTGACAAAGATTATCGGGGCAGTTTGAAATTACTAGAATAAAAGCAGTTTTTGCCTGAAGCACATTTTTGCTGCTTTTCATAATCAATAAATATGAAATGTTTTAGAACCAGGATTTAGTAGGAACCAAAATTGAATTTGAATGGATACATTTTGGATATATTTTTATTTGAATGTTAACTCAGGGCATTGCTGTAAAAGAGCTAAATGCTCAGTCAATTTTCCCTGAATAAACAATGGTTGAATTAATTATAAGATGCATATTAAAAGGCTTTAATGGGACAATGATGACTTTTTTTTCTTGATTCATACCAGAGAACTGCAGAATGACTGTAGTAAACATTAATAATAAGAGAGTGAGACAGTGCAGTCGGTACTGGTGTATCGATACTGCAGAAAATGACTGCTGAAACAGATTTGCTAAACAGCTCAGTGAGCCCCGATTCAGACAAGTGTTGAAGGAAATGTGGCCCACACACTGGAAACCACTTAATATTTTTGGTCCTGCCCCAAGTTAAGCAACTTTTAGAAGGACATGTTAGATGCCCTGAGAGCAGTGTTGCATCAAAATATCCCCAAAGATCCAGAGGTGATTGTCCTCGGAGCAATCCCTGAAAGGTTTGAGAGGAGGGCAAAATTGTATCTATTACAAATCCTCTTGGGGGCTGCGATTAAATGTATCACAGTTAGATGGTTGAATCCTGAACCTCCAACATACAACATCAGGATTAAAAAATAATGGGAACTGTATGCGATGGAAGGATCACATATGGATTTAGGTTGCAAATTCATAAAGACATGGAGTCCTGTAATGAGTTTGTTAATGCAGTGAGGGAAAGCTAAAATCCATATCTCCCTTCTATTCTCACTTCTATATTTTTAAGTTCACTCTATTTTTTTTATTTACATTTTTTTCTTTTTTCTCTCCTTATTTCTTCTCTTTTTACTCAAGAGTATATATGTGGTCAAACAGGTATATTTGTATGTACACATACACACATTATTTTTTATGTATCATTATTATTGGTATCACGTTTTTCTTTCTTATTCCTCACAAGTCTGAATCTCAAGAACATCTTATCGCACTTGAACACTTCACCGTACTTGTCTTACACCGGGATTGATGTTATGGCAGCTGAAAACTTTGTACATTTAATCAAAGTACTATGTACTACCATGTGTGAGCTATGTAAAAATTATATAGCTTGTATAAAATGCTGAAGTTGGAATAAAAAGTGAGTTCAAAACAAAAATAAGAATGGATATGTATTGATAACTTCAACAACACTTCTATAAACACAGCAAAGCCTTGCACATGAGACAAACACACCAACAGGTTCACATATACCATACTATCTAGAATTAATGTTAGTCAAGCCATGTGCCATCAGACTATTTATAGTATTCCTGCGGCTGTGGGCTAAAGTGCTACAAAAGATGACAAAAATATATGAGTCATCAACTTTATTACATTATGGTCTCTCAACTCTTGCCTCAAGCGTTCCCATTATCATGTTATAAGCATGTGAGATGCAAATTATATTTTTCCCACACAAACTGCTGTGGCATTAATGCTTTTAAATTCATATTAGACATATCAGTGCTTTCAATGCACTGTTATATTCTGCTGAAATATACCAAATTGACAAATCGCGTTCAAGCCTCTAATTTTGACCTCATGAAGCTCAACAGGATTATAATGCAAAAAAAAAACCTGACACTGTGTGTGTATGTTGTGTCTGCAGTGAAACGCAGCACCCTGGATTTGTAGTCCAGTGTTTTGTATGAGGTGATCGCTCTTGACCAATCAGAGCGCGTCTCAGAGACTTGCTATGCCGATCAGCCCAAGACAGGAAAGAGAGGGAGCGCTGTCTGTGGCTCCGCGCGAGGTTACCATCGAGCAGCATCACCGAGGGTTACTGTCGGTCAAAATTTGGGAAGATGACGAGCACGTCTCCGGAATATGTAATACCAACCAGAATTTTCGCAGTGTTGCTTTGCACTAATATTATCATAAAAATTCATATTAGATACTAGTGTAAAGCCTCTGTAGGAAACTGAGAATATTACACCACTGATATGTCTAATTAAATGCTTCCCTTACTCTGCATCCCTACATTACATCAAACGAGTGATGGAAATGTGACCATAGCACACAAAAAACTCACATTACAACGCCAGTTTTTTAATAACGTTCCAGTAGATGCAAACAAGCACGCGTTTACAATAAACATTAGGAAAGCCGAAAGGTGTCAGTAGAGCACATTGTTAAAATATTATTTTATGTCTCGACAAAAATATATACAAAAGATTTGAGAAGTCGGTCATTTGAGGCACTGTGAACTCAATAAGGAGGAATGAACGACAGTAACCTCTGTCTGTGGAGCAGGCTGGGGGCGGGGCGCACTCACGACCATTAGCAGCACGTTAGCCTCACCTATTAGCACAGCTAACCTGCTTTAATGATCTAATAATCGATTATTTATCGCTCCTATTGAATGGAAATGAGTTCTGATAGTGCAAGAAGCAACACTGTGAACAAGCCAGCCTATTATCACCTCTGCTTGCCTCCATTATAAAAAAAGAATGAAGAATAACGTTACTGTTGCTAGCTAGCTAAACGGTTAGCATTAGCTAGTCTAGCTAGTGATGGCTGATGGAAGCTACGCTGTGAGCATTGTAAGTTGGTCACTGGTGAGGTTTGCGGTGTATGTTGGTATAAATTAGGTTTTTAGATATTAAACACAGGAGGCAAGTCAAACTTAACACACATGGCATGCAGGAAGTAACGTTAGCTTTAAGTTACAAGCAGTGTTGTTGGTTTAGCTCTTTAGCAAACATTAAACTGGATTAACGGTCAAACACTGTTACATTTTCTTACCATCAATGTCGCTTAAGAGGGCCGTGTCAATATCGCTGGGGTCATTAAGCGACAGCGTTGGATCCAGGTTATCCAACGAGGGATCGTCAAAAGACAGACTGTTCATCTTCACTCTTGTGTCTGGCCTTCCAATGTAGACTTGAATAGCTGTTGAAATCGCTCCGAGGGGAGAGGGGGAAATCGCAAACTTCTCACGTCCCTACATTTGCTAACGCATCACACCCCGAGTCTTCGTTAAAAAATACGCGCAAAGTGAGCTGTAACTTTTTAATTGATGTGTCAACTAACTACTCACTCCGAGCCCCATGATCGTCCGGGGAAACTTGTCAAACCAAGCCAAACACTGAGGCTCATTCAGCACTAACCTGCTTACGGCGGCAGCCGAAAGAACCCACCTAGCCGACTGTGATTGACAGGCGCGTCAGCCAATCACTGGCTTTGTACTGGATTACCACGTCCCCTGTTTCTCAGGGTTGTTTTGATTATTTGACTAAAGGGGTGACAACATGTGGAGCATGTGTCAAAATTATATAACACAAGAATGTACAGTGAAACATCATTATTAAAGTACTTAATAAACTGGTGTAACGGCGCCGAAATACTTCTAAGGATCTGATTTAAATGTACTATTAAATTATTAACTACACAGACAAAGTTTGATTTATTCCATATATAATAATTTAACCCGTGCTATCCATTCTAGTCTTCTCCGTCCGTGTTAATATCGGATATATATTTCCCCAAACTGTGTATTTTGAAGGAGACAGCATGGATATGTTTATTGTGGGCTTGCCCCCAACAGCCAATCAGAGCCGAGCGGGCGTGAGCTCCTAAAAAGCAAGTTTGTTTGAGCGGAAGAAGCGGCTCCTCCTGTAGAACCAGTGAAATCGACCAATGGGAAGCTCGGGAGCCGAGTGGGGTGATCTAACGTCACAACTCTGGGACTAGTGATTACATCATGTGTTTCTATCTTAGAACAGCGGCAGCAAAAGGGAAATAACCTGGAGAGAAACATTGACATCCATGGAGGGATACAGGTGGCCAAATAGAATTAAAAATAAGCAAATTTTAATTATTTGCCAAATAAATCTATAATAAATACATAATCAATTTACTCAGTACAGTTATACATTTATTTTAGGGTTGTAAAGTAAGGCTTCTTGCAGTAAACAACACCCTTTAAATGATTAATAATGTAAACAACTTGCAATGGAAACTTGGTTTTCAGGTCAGCATCAGCTAAATTAACTTTAATGTGAACACACACACAAACACAAAGAGGGAACCCCACAAAAGCATGATGGGGGAAATAGGTCAGTGACCTGGAGTAGCACTGCAAAGTTGTTGTCAGTACTATGGGAGTGATATTATCAGCCTGTCAGCAAGACTGGTATTGTTGGTTATGGCGTGTGTTCGTATAAGGGTACATGTCTAGTGGTGTGCTGGAGTGGAGGGTATGCCCACATCTTTTTCCGGCCCCTTACAGTATACCCACATATCAACCAAAAAGCCATTGCAATAAATAGGAGAGTGTACCCACTTCCTCCTCTGTAATAGTGGTACACTGATTGTCTTAATCAATTGCTCCCTTAATTTTGGATACCTGCTAGTGATGCTTTACAGCACACCCAAGGAAGCAAACTCATTTAAAATTGTGTGTTAAAATTTGTTTACATTTTATGTGCTAATCTACTGGAGCAGAGTGCATGACATGTCCGTGAACCAGCATATGGGAGGGGGTGAGATGCTCACGTGACAATGAATGGCCAGTACAGAGCAAGATTGAGCCCGGGTTGCATCAGCATGTGCATGGAAAAAGAAGAAGAAGAAGAAGCGGGAGATTGTCACACAACCCTCAACTGTAAAATAACCACAATCAGTTGTGAGGTAGAGGTCACACATTGCTAGTGTTTTATTGGGCAGTAACATAACGTGCATTAGGTCAAACGAAAATCTGACCATTAGTAATGGCAGCAGACGGCACAGCCGAACAGACATGGGACACGCACCAACAGAAAACAAGCCTCTTTTCCATGTCCACTAAACAACAGCCAAATGCTCTGCTTCATCCGTATTAAAAGACATTCAGTAACCTTTTTGAGATAAAATAAAAATCAGAGGAATACATGTTGCAGTCAGGACGTAAGCTCCATAAAAGCAGTTAACATAATACACTGTCGTAACATACAAACAGAAAATGACTCAAGTTCCCTTTTAAAGGATCTCCTGTTACATTTTTAGTAATCGTCTTTGTTCAGCCTGCGTGGTGAAAGTTGATTGTAAATTTAATACTATTATTTCAGTTACCTGGCATCCATTTTAAACCTATATAACCATACAGCATTAAAAAAGGTTAAAGCTCATTAATGTCCTCAACTAAAAAACATTTAAATATCTAACCATAATGATTATGCAGACACAAATATATATTTTTTTACCATTGCATTTATGTTAACAAATGTATAACAAATCATGAATATTTCCCTCTAGTGGAAGGCCTATACTGACAGGTAATTCAACAAGTACTGTTGATGCATTGGGATGCCTTGATTGACAAGGCTCTTGGTCTTTATTGGACGAAAAGAAAATCTTTCAAGCGCAGAGCGACGTTAAAACAAACCAGAGGCTCAGCAAAGGAGCTGGAATGAAGACCGGATTGCTTTTGTTGCCTCAAAGTGCGATCTTAAGCACACCAAAGACAAACTCCAGTCAGAGCTACTTTGCTGAAATCAGTCAATCACAGAAATGCTTGGTAGCGGCTCCAACAGGAGCAGATGAATCACACCAGAATAAAAATACACCATGGACGAAAGTACGTCTTTGACTGTGCAAATCAAAGACAATTGTTTGCTGCATGCTTCAGCCTCGACCACAAAAAGATAAATCATGAAGGGTACGGACGCGTTTTTTTTTTTTTCCTTTTTTACATTGACTATAAAAATACAATCAGGGGATCAAACGATAAACAAACCTCTCTACCTTCTGGATATTACTGGAGCTGATACATTTTTAGCCAGATACAGAAACTAAGATTCCTGTATTTTGAGGTATATAGATTACATAGTTTAGAGTAAGTGAAGATCTACCTATGTGAATACATCCATTACAACAGTGAATCATTGTAAGCTATACGTTTTGTCTGTTAGTTGATTATGGTGCCAGCGCTGAGTCATGCTGATAATGAAAATGCCATATTCTATCTTGCTGTAATCTGCATGTAATTTTTAATATTCCTAAAAGTTTTTTTGCACTCCTAACACTGACTGTCCATCGATCCACTTCTATGTGGACAAGCGTTGCAATTACACAGTTACAAAAGTTATGTGCAAAACGAAGTCAATCTAAAGATCATTTCCCGTCCCCTAGAAAAATAGTAACCATCTTGTAAACACAAAAAGGACAAAATACAGATTTGTTTTTGCTTCAAAGTGCACACACACAGCACAGCAGGGGAAGGAAAATGTTCATGATCCCTTAACATTTGTAGCACGTGATTACTGTCTGACAGGGATAATTCAGTGCTAGCTGGTCATTAAAGCCTTAATATTCTTTGGAATGGCTGAAAGTGTTTGCAATTTTGCAAGAGCAGCTAATTTGTCGTAGCTTCTTCGAAATGATGGGAAATATTCCATGGGCACGTTCCTTCCCCTCATCCATTTGAAATACATAACAGAATCCTAACTAGTGCTTTTTTAGACTTTTAATTCCCTTTGGTTAAAGGAATGCTGGCATACACTCATTAAAATTAGCTATGATTTAGCTATTAAATTCCTAGTTAGCAAAATTAGCCTGCTAACATGAGTTCACACTGCTTCAGGCAAGTTGTGCAATAAAACCTGTTGCCGTTCCACACATATCTCAGTATTAAGGGCATGACTAGAGCTCTAAAAAAAATTGGATGGCTCGACCATAACCACAGCGCTAGTACATAGTACAGAACAAACCATTAAAACAACAAATGCATAAATTAGCAATTAGCTGAATGTAGTAAAACAACACAATATAATCCTAGTTGCTTCCACACTGACTCAATGCATGGACCTGCAGTGAAGTTCTTCCATTCATCCTGCAGTAATATACCACGTTTTTAAAACCCATCAGACACGTTGTCTTCCTTTGGTGGAGCCTTTAGAAATGAGATGCAGGGCTGCGAGTACTACATCCCACACTAACAGATTAATACATCCATATATAGTAGAACGCAACACAGGTGTGCGCCAGTAAACATGTTGGACCTCTGCATATTTAGAGCAACACTGTGCGAAGAGAATGACAAGGAGGTGGAGACCACTTGCTACGCCACTGCCAGTCAGCGATGAAATGGGACTGGAAGGACCGTTTTGGGAGAAATCATTTAGGGCGAGGACCTTTAGATGCCCCTGGAGAGAGATGGAGGTTCTCTGAGAACAGTCTACAAGGCAAAGAGGGCATCCTCCGTCCGTTCGGCCTTCTTGTGGGAGCCACCGGGGGCACGAGCAGGGTGAGCGGGGTTAGCTCCGGGGGGAGATGGCAGAGAGTCTGATGCCTTCGCTCGCTCCTCCAGGAACTTATCAAACTCTGAAAGAATATTGATGAAAAGGGTGAAAATTAACCAAACTCCACAAACATTAGAGATAGCAGAACATATACAATTGTGTCAGAGTCTGTACCTTCACTGGTCACCCCTTCCTCGGCAGCATCCCCTTTCTATTAAGAAAAAAAAGCATAGATAATGCAGACATTTTGGCATCTTAAAGGGTATCGTCGGTATTTTTCAACCTGGACCCTATGTTCCCATGTTTTTGGGTCTAAGTGACTAATGGGAGCAACAGTTTTTGAAATTGGTGGAGCAAGGCATGTTCGCACCCTCCATGTGCATCCACTAAAAGTGGTTGTTTTTGCCACTGACAGGCTCATATTATTCTTCTTGGTGTCTGACAACATTATAGAAAGATAGACCTTTTACTTAAAAAGTGAAAACCTTTTTGTTTAACCTGAAACAGCCCCAAAATCACTATCACCAAACCCACCAGACTCCATTTAAATAAACAGCAATTTTACCTTGTATAGAGCCAGTATATTTTTAAATTTAACTTGGTAAAATAAGGATTTTTTAACCAAACCAGAGCTGGTGATTGTTGGAACAGTGGGGAGACAAACCAAGACAGCTTTTGTGAGTTTTATTTTGTTTCTGTTGTCTTTGAATTAAGTGTGTTTTACGATGATAAAATTGCTGTTTATTTAAATGGAGTCTGGTGGGTTTGGTGATAGCGATCTGGGGCTGTTATGGTTGAACAAAAGGCATCTCACTCTTACAAAAAAGGGCTTAGATCTGTTGAGAGTCTTTCCATAATGTTGTCAGACATTTAGAGTGACAATGTGAACATGCC